TCGAATGTTGTTGGAGTCATTGGCCAGTAACATGTGTGATACAATATTCGGTTTTAAATATCAACTGAATGAAAGATTACAGAGAAATCATTCTAAAATAACAATTTCAGATGCATTCCGTGTTTTATTAAATGATCCATTGAATTCCTTTTGAGGATGACGAACAATACTTTTGGTTATTGATGCATTAGGTGAAAGTCATGTTAATAGAAGATGTGAATTATTGGAATTGATTGCAATGGAATTCAACCGTCTACCTAATGGATTAAAATCTTTATAACTCCAGAATTTTCTGTTCAAAACGAGATGAAAGAAATGAATCCTGTAAAACTAACATCTCAGCCTCGTAATAAAACAAAGAAGACCTGAGAAATTATTTGAAATTTAACTTACACAGCTATCGTTCTGAAAACTCTGAGTTTTCTGTTTCTAGCGACGTTTTAGATTTATTAATTAAAAAATGTAAATGGTCTTTTCTTTAGGCTTATCACGCCCTTTAAGAGCTAAAGAGAGTTAATGTTGAACGTATTAGAGAAAGTATTAAACTATTAGTCCTTTGTAGCTTGAGTGGTTTCTACAAGATTGAATTTCATCAAGTAAAAACATCATTACAGAAAAGTTTCAAAAAAACGCAAAAGAAATATTTGGTAGATAGAAATTTTAGGAAATTTCTTGACTTGTTAGTATTCTGTCAAGGAATTTTGCCCCGAATGTTCGTTTTTGAGTGTTTAGGTGTTCCTGATGACATCAATTTCGAAGATATTATTAAAACCATTAAAATGATATCTCAGATTTTGCCAGTTTACGATGATTGTTTAACCGTGTATCATAAATCGCACATTGGTTGGTTGAAGTCAGCTGGTTATGAAAGACACGAGTTTACTGTTAATTCTCAGTCTATACTAAACGGGCATCAATTATTAGGGCGTGCTTGTGCGAAAGAGTTTCATCATGTTAAGTCGAAAAATTTTTTTTGGATATAAAATGAACACTGCTATGATTAATTATGCTTTGATGAATGGGATTTGTCATATGATAGAAAGTGGTAAAATTCAAAAAGAGGAAGTTTCTTGCATGACGTTCAAGATCAAAACTTGCCATATGGAAAAACCTCGGCGAAAACACTATCCCAATTGGCCAAATGCAAGTTGAATGTTGTGAATTCAACACTGAATGAAAAACTCTCACGATTAACATTACTTCTATAGAAACATTATTGTCAACGCACGTTTAATAATCAAGACAATTTTTTTTAAAAAAAGCATGTTAAACATCTTATTGTTCAGAAAAAAGTTTATTTGAACTTGGGAACTCAGTTTCTTTGAAATTTTTATTTCTGTTTTAATTTGTTGAAATAAAAACTCAAGATTATAAAGTTTTACGAAGTTTTTATCTTCATGGTGATTTCTCAAGATCATTTACATTCAGTTACACCTCTAGAAACAGGTGCAAAAGTAGAGCAAGTATTAAGGGAGGGGAGTTGAATACTCTATTGGACTGACTTCTTTTGGCAGTTGTCTTGGAAGACTAGAAGCTTGCCGCGCGCTTTTTCAAACTTGGTTAAAAGATACATTTTCCTTATAGCTGCTTGGTTTTTCCTTTCTTTCACATCTTTTCCTAATTCTTATACGTGTACATAGTTTCACTATCAAATACAGTACATAAAATGAATGATTAAAGTGTATTTAACGGGATCATTTGAGAAGACGACTAATATCATTGAAACAGTGAAGTAAATCAGCACTGCATTAGTAAGGTCAAAACATTTTTCTTGTTGATTTTAAAAAAACAATTTTTCATGTATCAGACCAGCATGTGATGCTGTCTATAACACTTTACAATTCACCAGTTGGAATTGCTCTTAATATTTTATGATGATCATCAACACTTTAACCCACCTATAGCGGAGATAAATCTGATCACTTACAATTTGTAAAAGTTCGTTAAAGAATGCCTGGCCAGAGATTCGTCGAAAACCATGAGTGTTACTTTGTCCTTACGTAGTAAGCCTGCTAACAGGCTATGTCTTTAATACAATTCTGGTGATACTCAAAAAGATCCTGGTGTGCAGTATATTCCACTGTAAGACAATTTTTAAATGCAAAGAAACTAATAAATGCACTTTCCTGTTGAAGTTCTCACGTGCATATTCAAAAAAAGTCTTGTTCAAGAGGCTGTAAAAATTTTCTTCTTGATTCAAACAATTCGTTTGTGATTTGGTTTGTTATAATATAATTCGTTTTTACTTTTGGTTTAGTAAAATTTGTTCTTTAGTAAGTGTAATATTTGTGTAAACGCGATGATCATAATAGCTTAGATTGGAAATGCGAGTGAAGTTTGGCCAAAGGAAGGCAACTTCTACTTGGGGTTAGTGGGTACAAATGGTACCTTAGCGTAAAGGATGCGAAATGCATCTGTAAGAAGACTTTAGAAGACTGGATCAAGCGATGATTCACCAAAGATGGTGGTTCTGGTGAAAAGAAAAGATCTCTCCCCTAGTACGGTAAAAGCATGCAGTCGTTGTAGTTTGCCAATTTCATGAACGGCTTTCTACGGTGACGATTAAGGCACTCCTGGATCCCCTATAATGCATGATTAGTTCAATCTACCCCAGTTGGAGGTCACCGTAGGTGCAACAAGAACTAGGTTAGGTTAAGTTAAGGGCATGATGGGTTACCTCCTTCAAGGGACATTCCTTTTCAGGGTGGATGCCGGTGTCATGCGCAGGTAGGAAGTTCAGATAGTTTAGGCATTCGCTGTAGTTGCTGCTGCGGGTAGCTGCTAAGCTCAGATAACATGTATAGGGTTAGTACCTTTAAAAATTTAAAGGATGAATTCCAATCTTTAAGAGATGACTAAAATTTAAAAAATTGGAAACAAATTTCAATCTTAATTATAGTTATTTATTCTTCAACAAATTGAAGCTTTAGAAAGTATTCAGTTTGTTAAGACATTTACAGTTTTAGGAGCGGCGTGGCAATCACTGTAATTCTAAAAAATGATATGTTGTTTTCTTTTAAAGATGACTTCATTCTAGGGAATTTCAATGCTGAAAGCCACAGCGTTAACCAGCGTTAAAAAATAAACGATTAGTACACCAGGTCTAGGTATGTGGAATGTCTTTATAAAAACTATAAAAGAAACATACTTTAAATGAAAGTGCATTGTTTTGTTCTCTTTTAATGGCTTTTATGAAAACAAACCGCAGACGTTGTCACATATTTTACTTAATAGTTACACGACGGTTTCCATGTTCACCAATTGTGTTCCTACTAACGTCATATATGTGATTAATGTCAAAATTAAACATATCATTTTAAAGCAAGCGCTACCGGTTGTATGGTTAAATCATCCCGAGTCCCTCGGTAACCAAACCTACCGTGTGCTTCTTCAAATGGTTTCTAATGATATTGCATTTTCATTTAAACTGTATATGCTCGAAATACAATAGCATATTTGCTAATAAAGTAAACTTCAAATTAAATGTCTTGAAGTATTTTTATCTAATCCATGTCATGCAGCAAGCGCTTGCTCTAATTTTAGGCGTTAGTGACCCCGGGCGCGCAAAAGCACTGAATTACACGGTTAAAAATAGGGACGCTTGGTGACGCTATTTTCGACTTATTTGGATGTGGATTAGATAAACAAAGCACACGTTTCAAGAAATAATCTCCAGTAAAACAATTATCTTGTTCAAAGTAGAAAATTGTCCATTTCGGTGATCGATTTATGTGTAGTTAAACAGAATTATTTGTATATATTCAAAATGGCGAAAAACTTCAAAAATTAAAATACCTTTGAGAATACTAACAAATTGTTAGGCTTTAAAGTTTATATGAAAATTTTTCGTTTTTTTTTGAATCGTTGCAAAAGTAAGTAAAGTTTATTATTTATATGGGTCCCCAGAGTGCGGAACTTCGGCTAAAATCCCTAAAGGCATATTCATTCAAGTTCTTTAAATATAACCAATAATAAAAATTTATTTTGATACCAAGATTTTTATTTTTTCTGTCATCAAAAAGCCATGACATTTATAAATGTTCTAATGATGTCCCTCGGCATCTAATTCTATGTATTACAACGAATTTGATGTTACTAGTATTACCTGTTACTCTTTAAAATTATAAATTCTGAAATTGAGAAAGTCATTACTCTTCTTATACATGACAAACATGATAAATTCTCTATATGGGCTAAAGATGGACAGTTTCCTCATAACTGGTTGCATGAATGTACCTGTGAGCATTATTGAACTTATTTTAATAAAATACATTATTTTTCACATAGTGCTTTGTTAAGATCTGTTCATCACCTTCTACTTTTGCATGGAATTGTTACAAGTTTTTGGTCTTTCAAGGTATATAATGAGTGTCTTTAGTGATAATCATGTACAGGCCAATCATAAAGATATTTTTAAGGCTGAGAATGTAAAGACCTGGCCTATTTTAGATGCGTAGGTGAGCGAAAAGTTCATTTGTACAGTTAGTCTTAGGCATGCTGATAAGCTATGATGAGGGCCTTAGCCACGACGTTAATGGGGAGAGATATATTCAATTGTGCGCGAGTAATTACTTTTGAAAGTGATTTCCTTTTCTAAAGAAATCAGTCAGGCATAGTCAAATATATGAAAAAACACTCCTTCCCCCAATTAACATTTTATCTACGGCCCAGTCAAAACTAAAATTTGATGGTCTAACGTTGCTTCTCTTTAACTAACTCTTCAAAGAAATGATAAATCTAGCGTCCATTGAACGTGACTTTAAAAGACGTGATAAATATGACCTTACTCGAGATATGATCACAACAAACAATAGGTTTAGACGACAGCTTAAACGCCATATATTACATTTTAAGGATCAGTGTATCAAAATTTTCTGGGAGAGCATGCCTCCGTACTCCCAAGATAGTGAACGCCTCCGGCATTTGGTCATTTGTACTAACAAGAAAAAAATCCTGGATGCGCTCTGTTCAAGACGGTTAAAGCGCGATGAATTTGGTGTGTTTGTTATTCCGATGGTGCATTTGCCATCAAAGGCAAAAGAGGATACTCTATCACGCAGAGATAAACGAGTTGTAGGTACTGTTTCTATGTATTCAAATATGTTTTCGTTATTAGAGACATAAACAAAATTAGGCTTGTAGGCTATGTAATAGTATTATTAACTGGACTAATTTTTAAATTAATATTTATATACTTTTGAATCAAAGACATTCAATTTATGCCAACTTTTAACATTTCATATTTACAGGTAATGCAAGATGCTTTGTCTTTCCCAAAAAAGAGTGTCAGCAGCACATCACATTCTTAAAATGAGGAGATCGCTTCTTCGACTGATGCTATTCTGACAGAAGACATGCCATTCACTGAGATATTTGACACCCAGAAAATAGCAGATGATCCACCAAATGAACTATTCACCAGTCCATCATTTGTTCCCAGTGATATGGCATCAGAGAATGACAATTGCACTCATTGTGCTAAGTGGGTGGAAGAAAAGCGAATGCTATTAAATACAGTTGAGAGCTTGCAAAAAATAATTAAAAGATGAAATGTTAAAGGTAAAACACTCCGGAAAAAGAGTAAGAAGTAAGGATCGCAAATTTGAATATGACTTTACATTTATACTTATCTATGAAACATTCGATTACCTTATACTTTTTTAGTAAAATTGCTTGAATCACGATGGAGAGTAGTAAAGACAACAAACAAAAATCACAAAATAGATGTCAACCCTGCACCATATTACGAAACGTAAATGGATAGTAATAATGATGAATCAAATGATGAGGAATATGAAGCAGAAGCTGAAGAACCTTAAGACTTTGGATCAAGAAACAGAAACTAAAACTGATGATCATGAATGGTTGGTTATTATCAGTATTTGCAAATGTTGTATGTTTTTATATATTTCCTTATTTTGTGTAGAGTCAGTTTGGCGGGAAGCAGTCTTCAAGCGGAGCAAAAGTATATTGTGTTCCTTTCTCGCCTATTACTATTGGCTTAAGTTTTGTTTCAAGCGCAAACATGAGAACCCAGAAATCAACTGCAAAGCAAATGGAAGTAACATCTCAATTACATCCCAATGTCCATCCTGTAATGAAGAGACTCAATTGCACAGTCAATTATATGTTCCAGGATCACTAATCTGGGCTGGCAACTTTTTGTTGTCTTTTGTCATTCCATCGAGTGGTGGCTTTCCAGAAAAGATATTTAAGATGCACAATACGAATGGACTTGGTTGTGTTACATTAATACACATATCAAAGGGTAATTACTTTTTAATGATTGCTTCCCAGTCAACTTTCATGTGTTCCATAACGCGAATGTATTATTGTATTCCATGATGACTGCCTCTTTCGAAGGGTAATTACTTTTTAATGATTCAGTCCCAGTCACCTTTTATGTGTTCAATAACGCGAGTGTATTATTGTATTCCATGATGACTGTCTCTTTCGAAGTTAAAAATACTTTTGGTAGCTAGATTGAGCACTATGTTTCCTGTTTTTACAAACTGAATTTCTACGAAATCTCAACATGCTTGTTAATAAAAGTGACTGGAAGCATGCATTCAAAAGCTCTCAGAACAGCAAATGTTATATCATTAACGCTTTTTTCTCAAATTACGATACTTTAAAATCTGTCTTGAAAAGAGCAAATATGATGGTGAATCGTAAATTACTTACGTTAGTATTTTACCATTCACAATTTCACCATGGTATTTGCTCTTTTCAAAATAATTTTTAAATTTGTCACCATGAATATATTTTACCATTAGTGATAATTGCACAACTAAAACACGAGGAAACAGCGGCGGATTCAGGGTACATCAAAAAGCTCCTCAATTTTTTTTTTCAAATTACATTCAGAAAAACACTATTGGTTTTTTATTTCTAAAGAATATAATCTTACCAATGGATATGCGTCTAAGGTTTTTAGAAATGTAAAAATACGCCAAAAAATGTGCTGCAGTAATTGGGACATTGAAAGACATCGGTGAAAACATCATCCTAATTTTAGCCAACGGCAAGTTGAATGCTGTGATTTTAACAATTGATAAAAAACTCTGATGATTAACTTAACTCTGTAGAAGCTGTGTTCTTCAATATACACGACATGTTTTTTGAATGATGAATTCACTTTCTTCGAATAAACATTATTTATTGTTTTTTCTTGTTGAAATAAAATTCCCTATCATATTGTCGGTTAAAAGTTACAATGTAAAATTTTATGTAAACTTGCATGTGGTAATCGAATGAATATGACAATAAGCATCCTACTATAATAAACATCCTAAGACCAATGTGTTTTCAGTCATACCAAAAGAAATGTTATAAACTCTGATTGACAATAAAGCATGCTCTATAATTTTCTATAGTTACAGTTTTTGAGTAATCGCTACAAATTTAACATGTAGACGAATTTAACATCTTATTTTGATGGTAAGTATGAATGAGTGATATCATTTTAAAAGATCCTTTTTAGAGCTAGAAGTTCCTTGCAAGCCAAAATATACAAAGTTCAATTCCTGATCACTTTGCTAAGCCCATGGATGTATTATTGAACAGATTTGTGCTGAACGAAGTCATGTTTAGTTCGCAGAAATAGAATAGCTGATATAAAAACAAATTAATATATATGCGCCTATTAGAAAATAAATATATTGTAGTTTTAAAAAGTGGGATTTCTTCCTTTCTTTAGATTGGCACAAAGAAAACTGGCAAGAACCTGAGGCTGATTAAGTTGGATGTAAGAATTTTCGGATTTTATCTGGGAACACAATTAAGAAAACTCTGAACAAAGTTGTTCAAGTAAAAATTTTGGAGAAAGTCTATTTCTACTCACATCTAAACGCATCTAATCATTCAATTAAAGATTTTCAATAAGTCTATTTCTGCACACATGATTTCTTACATTATCTTCATTATTTAAAATACAATTTCTACGCTGCATGAGGTGATTGGAAGTGTTTCAACGATTTTCAACTGTTTTTGTTAATATTACCATAACATTGTGGTTCATACTGTATGAACTTTATCAAAACATTCCTAATTTTACTTCAGATTTGACGCTTTACAAACATGGTTTCTCTAAAATCATTAAGGAATGGGCGTTGTTGTACAATACATTCGACTGATTATGACGGTTTGCGGGCTTCTTTAAATAGAGTTAAATAAAAGTTTAATAGTTGGAATGTCATTAAACAATACAAAAAAGTAGCATAATGCCCCTTTTAGAGTCAAATAACATTATCCTATTTTTAAAGTCAAATAACCAAATTTTCCATGTAGTCAGGGCCGTTAGTAGAATGCTAATAGGGGAGGGGGGGTGGAGAAGAGGCTGCTCATTTCTTCAGTCAGCGTCACTCATGATTTCCTTTTAAAACCAATAAATATCTAATGCTTTAAATTTTAAAAATTACATTCGTCTCTTATGTACTGACCCTATTTTGTCTATAAATAAGTTTTGTTTTCCTCGAGTCAGTCCCAATGTTTCCAGGAAAGATATCTCTGTCTGGAGAAATTTCAATGCAAGATGTCATGAGGATGATGATAGAATTTTTGTTTACTTCAGAGTGTTTTCTGAATCTTTTTTTCCTATTAAAAGCTGAATTTCATCGCTTTATAAGTTCAAGAAATGTTGGTTTTTAAGTTTTTGTCTCCATAGCTATATTGTTCGTTGATAATAAAACTAGCGGGAAACTAGTTTTTATTTGGTTACCTGGTTGGAAAATTGCTTCCTCATTAAGTCAAAATGTGACTACGAATGAGCCAATCACATTCAACATACACAGCACCAATATAACAAATATAGCTACATACTTACAAAAAGATGAGTTATAAAACACATACCAAGGTTGCTGTTAGTATATAAATAAACCTTGCAAATGAATCGTTGACAACTATCACATTTCAAATGCACTGGTATCAAAAAAATATCATGGTATCTGGACTTGCTGGAACTTATTTGCTTGTATACTTTACTTTTCAATCGACATTTCGATGCGGCTTTTTGTTAATTGTTAATTCATATTTGGAGAACTAAAAATTAAGGCTCTAATTTTCGTTGAATCTATTAAAATAATAATTTGATATATATATATAATATTTAATATTATTATATATAATAGTTATACAAAGTGTATATACAATGTAACCTCCCAAAGTGTATATACAATGTGTCACTTGGGACACAGGATGTACGGTTAATATTTATAAATGTTGATGATTATGATTTAGATGTCGTAGATTTAAGAATCGTGAGAATGCATTAAGTTCATTGAATACAAATACTTCAGATTTCATATAATTTGGAATTAGGTTTCTAAACAATTAGGTGCATAAATTGGTTTTTAAAAGCCAATCTTTTCTGAATGAATTACCATTTATCAGTGTCTGAGTTTGGGGTAAAATTTGCGAAAACAGTCTTAAATACAGTCACGTGACATGCAATTAAAGCAAGGACACAGATGCAGTCATGATTTTGTATCTCTGGACGATTTTACTTATCAGTTGTACGCATTATGTACGCACCTATCTTAGTTTGTTTGGATACATAAGGGTGTCCTCCATAAAAACGGAACCCCTACAAATACTTACGTATGAAATAAAATGAAATCTGCATAAGATAGTTAATTGGCAATAGCTTTTCTTTCCACTTTGTGAGATTTAGTCTTACGCTTATTTATGTGCTTTGCAGTTTTTGGAAAAAATGATGACGTTTTTGTGGCTGTTATTTTTCAGTTTACAGTAACTTCGCCTTTACAAATTAAATTTAGAACTCTCTCTCTCTCTTGTTTTTTTGACTGGCCAGTAACAACGCGATGGTGTTTCTTTAGCATTGCTTGAAAATTACATTTCTTCGTATTTTACTCTCTAATGAAAACCTCTAGATCTTCATTTGCACACTGCAACTCCCTGGAGCTCAATATAAATAAACCTTGCAAATGAATCATTAACAACAATCACATTACAAATGCACTGGTATCAAAAAAATATCATGATATCTGGACTTGCTGGAGCTTATTTGCTTGTATACTTTACTTTTCAATCGACTTTTCGATGCGGCTATTTTGTTCCTCTTCCGGTCGCAGTCTTAATTTCTTCTACTGATTTTCTGACAACTGAAGAAATTTGCCGAAGATCTATGATCTCAGGAAAAATAATTACTTACATTGAAGCAAAAATTAAAATGAAAAATAGTTTTGCTAGTATGAATGGGTTTGATTTCAATCTCCGAGAAGTCGAGACCGTTTGCAAACCTCCGAGATTTGACACGAAAACGAAGTAATATATCGACCGGAATTTCAATGTTTTGTATTTCGGAAGTTGGAACCGTTGTCAGTTGATCTTTATATGGTAGCTGGATAATTGATCCTCAAGTTCTTCAGTTCTAATAAAAGGAAACAACGAACATATATGGACAACTAGTAACTTTGATATTATATCATCAAAACTCCTATCTCACGGTTTCTTCATCTGTTCATTTTAAAGACGGCTGAAAACGTGAAATACAACATGCTCTGGTTTATTAAAATCGACAATATCACGAGCGCTATCAGTTTTGCCGGTTGCAGAGCGCTTCGTGTAGAGATGCGGGTGGTCAATGAACGATAGTCACTGATCTTCACACGACCGGATTGTTCAAGTCATGAAATATGTTGACTGGTTTTAAATTACGATGAATCATACATCATTGGCAAAAATTTGAGAAAAAAAGCAATTTATAAGTCTTTGTTGAGCTAAACGAAAATCGTTCCTAATTTTTATGTTTAGTTACACATTCATACAGATAACGTATACAATAATTGAAAGTTTCTATATGTGAATGAAACGTGAACTAATCCTTCTACAATCGCATTGAGAAGCAGCAAAATTGTCTGTTGCATGGTCCTTATACAATCCTTCATCAATGAACTTCTATAAAGAGCTCTTCTCACAACACTCCATCTGTACAAACAAACTTTTTATAAAGAAGCCTAACTAGAACGTGAATTGAGGGTGGGTGGGTGGGTGTGCATATACATTTATTCCGCTCTGCACTACCATACCTTCCGCTGTGCCTTTCTTTTGAAAGTGGATTAAATTTAAAAAAATCAACAGGGGAAAACTGAATACATGAATATACACCACCCCCCAATTAACGTTCTAATTACGCCTCTGTAGAGTAAACTTTTAGTCTTCTTACAAATCTCTTGTGGTGACTGCTTCCCTCTTCACTTTCAAAATAAGATTCCTCGTTTTAAAGGGAAGACGCTGGTAGTTATTTTCACATATCTTCAGCAACAACATGAACAATTCCCATTACTATATACCAAGTGAGCAAAGGAGCTATCAAACCTTAAATTCCTTGTACTAAACATGTAGGAGGTATTCATTGAAATTCTTTTGCAATTCTATTTGTAATTATGAAAGCGTTTGCTGATAAATAGAATATAATATAAGATGTGCTTAGTTTCCTTTATTACGTGGGCACTAATTACAACTAATGATGCACCAAGAAATTAACCAATCAAATCACAACACGTTAACTCAATTTTTGCCATACTTTAAGATTAACAGATGATTTTACTAAACAGTTGTACGCATTACGTACTAATGAGATTTGTCATTTGAATCAGTTCTTCAGCTTGTTCACTAAGATTAATTTGCAAATTTTGTAACAGTTGAAAAGTATCATTCGAACATCTCCATTAAACCAAGCTTGGGTAGGTCTTTGAAGTTTCTTTTAACAGAGAACTTTATCTTTGATCGAAGTGTAAAATAGTAATGGCACTGTGACTTTTATTTTACTAAAAATGTGAATAACTGTAAATACTGCATAATAGTTTTTATTGCATTGTAAATTTTAGTTTTGAATTATCCAACGATATTTATTTAGTTCCATTTAAGTTATTATTAGTTAAATTCAGGGCAAAAATAATGCCAGACTAACATGACTTCAACAAGATCTTGTAAATTTGCTTTAAAGGCGTTGCAAACCTGTAAAGCAATTGTGAAGCATTGTGAATCTGAATTAAAAGCATAGCATTTGTTATGGCTCACAGACAACTGACATATTTGGATTCAGTAATTTCTTTACTAAGTTGCTTTGGACATTGTATGTCAAATACATCCAATAAAGAACTTCTGAATATATTCTGAATAGAGATGAATCTATTCTGCTATTCCATTAGGCCATGGCCATAAGAAGTTTTCCAACTATTCTGGCTTGGGATATTGATGATTTTGTTGAACACTGGAAAAGTAGCAACTCATATAATTGAAGTATTGCTTTTGATATGGAACAAAGTACAGTGACTGAGTTGCCAAAATGAGAAAACATACCAATGTCAAGTGCCAAAAACGACACCAGTCTTAGTTTTGGGGGGAAGGTAAAACTGTAGATTGTACAATGCCATACAGAGCAGGGAAATTAGAGAAGAAATTTATTTACTGGCACAGGTTGATGCTAAAAAGAAAGACCTTTCATTCTGCCTTTGTATATATTCTAAGCAGAATTAACGTGATTCCAATTTGGTCTGGATGTAACACACAACTAAGTGATTATAGAAGCATATTCCTACGAAGGCAAAACTTGGTAATCTACATGTAATTAATGCTTTCCAAGCAGAAGTTTTACCATGAGTGAAATATTTAATAGAGTTAGGAAATTATCAAAACTGAACTGAAAACATACGTTGTCAAAAACCAAGGTTGGCATCTAGAAAATGGATGAATAATTTGTCTAATGAGCATCGATCAGTGGCGTAGCTAGACAAAAATAACTGGTCTTGCTATATCGAGAACAAACATGAGGTTCCATTACAGTTGGTGGCAACATAAGTTATCTGTGCCGCCGGTTATGTACGCTTTAATGTGCGACTTTGATATTTCATGCTTTTGGCAATCG